AGCACATCCAGTTAGTCACAGTCAGAGAAACAGGACTAAACTGGAAAACAGGCCAAGCTCCAACATCTAGAAACAAAGGTGTTGATGGCAGCAGCACAGCTGATATTTCTCTGAGAAAAGTAAAAATCCTGTACAGACATCATATCCAATCATTGGCATTTCTAGCTCTGAATTTGGAGTGTAAATACTCTGGATAGTAATTAAATGTGCTTTAATAAAGACATCAGACTTCAATTTTTCCAGTGGAGATAACCTGCTTCACATTAAATATCTTAGGAATCATGTCATTAATTGCTGCCTGTTATGTTGCAGCTATAGACATATATTTGATGCAGACTAAAATTATGCAGCACAGAACATAAAAAATTAGAAAAAATCATTTGTATTAACCAGATATACTTAATATAGTGTGAGACGGTAAATCTAAATGTTTAGTCTAGGTCTAAATATTATATATATTTTATTTTAGACAAACCTTGTTTTAATTTTTAATATATATATATATATATATATATATATATATATATATATATATATATATATATATATTTTTTTTTTTTTTTTATTTCAGGGTTAAATTATGTTTAAGGAACAGATTATTATTAGAAATGTCTCTGAACCTTTCCTAGTTGTTGATTTTTATTCGGACCCGCTGATGTTTAATTGGTTGGCCCTGTCTTAGAGGATTGTTGTGGTGAGACGGAGCAGCAGAAGGAGTTTCATCTCTGCAGGAAGAGAAATGTCAGGCTGGCACATTTGGATTTCTGCACCTCGCCTTTTTCTCCAGGGAGAATTACGGTTCCTGTCACTCAAACCTGATTCACATCAGCGGCACCAGGCGCTGAAAACAGGCGCTTCCCAGCAGCCGGCTCTATCTGTCATCATTAAACAGGAAATAATGAGCGAGCAGGAAGCTCCACAGACCCCATTCAGTCTCAGCTCACAGCTTCTGAATCCACTGTGAGCAGAAAACAGCATCAGGCTGTGATGTCGGTCCTGTTTGCTGCTCAGACAGATCCAGCCATGTGGGACTCTTCAGGCACTTTGTTTCAGCTTCTCTGGAGTCACTTTCTTTTTTACACTTTATTTATAATTTAATGACATTTCTCAGAAACAAAACAATTCCAGTTACGGCACAGAGCTTCATATTTTATTAAAATACCTTTTCTAAATGTTTCTGTTTATTATTTGCTTTGGTTCATCTCTTAGATCAGAGCTGCAATTCTCAAAAACACGTTTAATAGTTTGTCGCAGAATAAGTTACATTTTTTAAACCATTTTTTTTATTGCTGTGCTTAAGTGCTTTTGGATTCTCAACTTGACTTTTTTTTCTTATAACTTTCCCTTCATTTCCAAGAAGCTGTTAGTTCCTTGTTCCTTCCGGTTCAGCTCAGCTTCTTAATCCTCTGTTGCTGTTTTTCATCCATCATGGCGGATAGCAGCCTTAGGACTGAATCTGGACGCCACTGATCTACATATTTAATGTCATTCCACCAGCGGTGTCAGAAGTTCACACATTTCTCACTTAAGTAGAAGTATAGAGACTGTAGTTTAAAAGGTGAAGTATCAACTTGACCTCTTTACTCAAGTGAAAAAGTATGCGCTCCAAAAACTACTTAAAGTATAAAAGTATAAAGTAACCTTTAAAAAAAAACAGCCAGATGCCGCTATATGAATTAAAAGCTCAATATTTCGACTATTTCTAAACATTCTCTGAGATAGGTCCAAGGATGAGGGAGGTCTGGCTGGTCTCCGTCTCCCGATACGCTCTCGCCTGTGTCCGACCTTTCAGACATTTCAACATCTTTTTCTGAATCCCACATTGTAGCATGGCATAGACAATTCACGTTAGCAGTTTGAAGAACACCTGCTTGCTTCTGATGATTTCCTTTAGCTAACCAATGAGTGTTTGCGTTCTATGACTCATCCAATCACACTAGTTTTCACTAGATGTGGGCGGAGCCAATGATCTGCATTGGATGGAGCACATGACGTGAAATAAAGATTTAGAAACATTAAACCGAAGCCAGGGAGGAATAGAAAGTACAGATACTGGTGTGAAAATGTACTGAGTAGAAGTCAGTAATGTTGTTGATGGAGAAATGGAGTAAATCATAGACACCTAAAAAGTGTACTTAAGTACAGTGACAAAGTATTTGTACTTCCTTACTTGACACCTCTGTGTTCAACAGATGAGAGAAACTCAGATCAGTTATCGTTTGTGGATTATAAATGCAGAGATGAGTTCTTGTAGGTTTAATGAGGAAAACATCATAAAAACAAAAAAACAAATGAGCAAAAGCCAGAAAATTTTAGAGAAAACTCACATAGGGAGCCAGAGACGAGGAAGCAACTAAACAACAAGGAACCAGCACTGAAAAATTGCACAGGTAGATTGTATATGGGAGACAGAACAAAGACTGGGCTAATCAGCTAATAGGGAGCAGGTGTGGATGGAGGAGACTAGAAGGGAGCTAGGGGAAAGGAGACAGGCACAAGGGGGCAACAGAGAGTAACTTAAGACTGCTCAAATATAACACAAAATGGAAGATAGACCAAAGATCAACAAAACTGTCTAAGTTCCAAAAGTGGAAACCCTTCATTTAAACACCTTTACCTTTAATTAACCTTTAATTTAACCTTTAATTTAAACACCTTTAAAGTCGCAGGATTCAGTTGGATCAGTCTGGTTCTGTAGTTCAACTAAAACCTCTGTTGTTGTTTAAATACAAGGAAAAATAAAATGTAGCTACATTAAAATATTTATTAGACCATAAAAGTTACATAAAGCAGATAGCATCTTTATTTCAGTTCGAGTTAGAGGTTCATTTTTCTATTATTTGGTCAATTTGAGATAAATTTAAAATTTAAATTTAATCTTAAATTTTCAAATATAAGCTTCTGTCTCCTTGAACCCCAGTGGGCCTCAGCAGATGGCCGCTCACACTGAGCCTGGTTCTGCTGGAGGTTTCTTCCTGTTCAAAGGGAGTTTTTCCTCTCCACTGTCGCTACAAGCATGCTTAGTGTGAGGGATTGCTGAAGAGTCAATGAGTCGATGCAATCAGCTGGTTTTCCTTAGGTAGAAAACTTTGAATCAATCTGACTGGATGATCTGGTGAACTGGAAAGTGACCTGAGATGACATGATGTGAATTGGAGCTATAGAAATAAACTGAATAGAACTGAATTGAATAAAAAAAAGAATGCAGTTTCTAGAGAGGTTAGAGAGCCGAGCATCTGCCTCTCGGAGGGAATCAAACTTTTAAAGAGTTTTGAAAAATACCAGGTTACAATAACAAAGACTGAATGATTAATTCATGGTATTTTGGTCACCATACGTGTTTTATGCACTGACTGGGTTTGCAAAGGTGAAGAATGATTAAAGAAATCTACAAAAGGGACAGAGAGAAAATCTGTGTTCTGCGATATTTACTTTAAATCCATCTAGTAATTGGCTCATTTAAAGGAGAAGTCCGGTCAGCAAGGAATAATCAATGGATCATTATTTATACCTAAAAGTAATACATTTACAGTGATTTAATGAATTTAGCGTTAATCAGTAAAATAAATAAAAACAATAATGTTCGTTGCGATCACTGAGTCTGGGAGCTACAGTGGCCCTGAAGTGCAAACTGCAACCACAAATCTAAAAGCGCAATTACATAAAGAAAAACAAAACTACATAAAGCAATGTGCAACTACATTAAGGAAAACACAATTACATTAACCTACCGGGAAAGGTAGGTACCAGTGGGAAACATGAGACATTGCTGATTGGACGACGGCGCCGTTTGACCCTTGAACCGGAAGTTGCGTCGTCTGAACAGTCCAGCTTCTTTTGTGTCTTCAGTGTACGCAAACTAACTGAAATTTGGTGATTAGTCTTGAACATATCCAGTATCACCTCGTACGTATGTCCTGATTCTAAATATTCCTGGATAACGGCAGCTATGTTTGGGGCGCCGACAATATCCATGTTTTCAAAAGCCGCAGCAGGCAGAATGACTTCCGGTTCAAGGGTCAAACGGCGCCGTCGTCCAATCAGCGATGTCTCATGTTTCCCACTGATACCTACCTTTTCCGGTAGGTTCATGTAGTTGTGTTTTCCTTAATGTAGTTGCGCTTTTAGATTTGTAGTTGCAGTTTGCACTTCAGGGCCACCGTAGGGAGCGGCCATTTTTGCCAAATATAGTAACCCCTCCCCCCTGCCATCTTCCAGCAGTGACGTCACGGTGCGGTAAGCCTAGCGCCATTCTCCCCGCTTTCCAAGCTAAATCAATGGGAACTACTAGACACATCTGCAATCAACAACAATTATTGAAGATTTCCAGAGGACTTCACCATTGAAATTCACCAGAGCTATAGTGAAACTGACAATGCCCACGTGCATGGCAGCTGGATGCTGGAATACATCGGGTAAAAGTGAAAAAAAGAGTTATTCCACCTTTCTGATTCCTGATCCTCCACGGACGGGTTGGTCGTTGGATCGCCAACTGGAAGAGGGAGGATTTGCCATCGAACTTCTGGCCAGAGAAAAAACCCGTAATATGTAGCCAACATTTGGAAGAAGAATGTTTTCAAGATGACTTGGATAATAGCGCGTTGTGACAAACACCAGATACAGCACTGGGACTCGATCAACAGCCGATACCGCACCGTGACAATGTCACTAACCAGTAGGTGGCAGTAGTGTTCTTTGACAAACATGGATGCCTCCAGTAAAGCACATTCACATGAAAATTACTCTGAATTAAAAACACTGATCATTTATTGAACAGGATGGAATCATTTCAGATTTAAAGAACTTTCAGAAGTTTGGATTCTGAATATGAGCGACTTTTCCTTTAAACTGAGGCTCTGTTTCTATCTCTTTGAGTCACAGTCTGACCAGGTAGATGGATGGATGGATGATGGAGGTTGTTTTATGATGAAACTCTGGTTGTTGGGTTTCTATTTTTCCTGTGTGTTTTAATTTGAAATCCCAGCGCTCCATGTCGCCTCCTTTTCTGCTCTCCTGTGCGCTAAAGTTGGCGCTCAGTCAAGGCGCAGTCTGTGGGAGGGGTCTGCAGACCTCTGGGTGACCGGCAGGCAGACCGGGTCCTGGATCTGAGTTCGGGCGGACTCTGCAGTCTGTTATCGGACCGCAGCGGCGGGATTCCGGTGCGTTTCCGTGTTGGCGGACTGCTGGGAGGTTCGGGAAGGGCGTGATCCCCGCGGAGGCGGAACAGGGAGAAAGTGAGCGGGTTTCCTCCTGGTTGATGTGAGTCTCTGAAACCATGAGGACTGAAGAGCTGCTCATTCTGGAGGCTGGAGAACTGTGCAGCAGCTAAACTTTAGAGTTCAGGGTGGATCTTTGCTCGCTCTGCTTCACGGACCGAACCGGACGCATGGGCTGCAGCAGCGGAACCAGACCGGGTCCTCATGGCTGATCTGGAACTGTTTCATTTGGACGGGGCCCCTTCAGCACCGCGGACAGTTCCCCGGGGAGCGGAGAAGGAAACCTCCTTCAGCCGCAGGAAGGATGAAGATCCGCAGCTTCTTCATCCTCAGCGGCAGCTGAGCCTGACAGCTTACAGCGAGCTGCTGGGAGAGGAGCAGGAGGAGCAGGAGGAGCAGGAGGAGGAAACCACAGAACTTTACCTTCTGTCCGAGGATGAGCTGTCCTCTGACGGCTCACGGAGCTCCGTGGACTACGGCTTCATCACCGCCGTGTCCTGCCTGGTCAGCGGCATCTCCCTGGTCGCCATCACCTACACCATCCCCAGGGACGTGCGCGTGGACCCGGACAGCGTGTCCGCCAGGGAGATGGAGCGGCTGGAGCGGGAGAGAGCCAGCGTGGGGGCCCATCTGGACCGATGCGTCATAGCGGGACTCTGCCTGCTGACCCTGGGGGGCGTCCTGCTCTCCACGCTGCTCATGGTCTCCATGTGGAAGGCGGAGATGATGCGGAGGAAAGCCTTTGCTTACTGCAAACATTCTGCCAACTTGTACGGATCCATGAGTCTTAGAGCGGGGTCCAGCTCGACCCTGGAGTCCTGCTCTACTGTCCCTGCAGCGGAGGAGGACCTGGAGGTTTTCAGCTGAATTTATGGACTAAATAAAACAAGACTTTAAACTAATTTATTTCACTTTCATTCAGCGCCTCTAAAAGATGCAACAAGAAGCAAGACTTAGGCAGGGGCGGATTTAGGAAATGTGGGGCCCTAGGCAAAGACAGGCAGGGGCCCCTCTGAATGGAGAAGCCAACACATAAAACAGCCCCCTTCTCCAGATAGAGAAATGTTACTAGAATAGACATCCATTATCTGTTCTAGGTTGTGTCCCTCTCTTCTTGTCCCTTTTCTTCTTGTTTTCCTCTCTATGTTTTGTACTCAGCTGACTTTTCATGCTGTCTCTAAAGGAATGAAAGATTTTTTCCAAGCACTAAGCTCACTTAGCTGATTGCTCCTTCCTGTGTTTCCAAAAAGGCCAAAGTAAATAACCCAGTCCTTCTTTTCACTGTAGACAAGCCATGATCTGCTTATCTGTTCTCCATTTTTCATTTGGATGAAATAATAGCTGCATGAATCATGACAGCAGACAAGATAGAGGAGAGCAGGAGGCGGGGTTACCAATCTACTCGCTCTGGAGAGGAGAGTTCGCTGCTTTTAGATGTCTCCAAAGTCTCCAGTAGCAGAAAAAAGTCTCTAGATTTGGCGCTAGGAGCTTTTTAGAAATCAAAGTGCTAGAGGGGTCTGAAAAGTGGCTAAATATAGCGACTAAAGCGCTAAGTTGGCAACACTGCTCTTTGCATGGTTTGTTTTCAAATGGTTTGCTGCTGTCTGTTTGGACCTTTCTGAACATGTGCAGCAAATGGACTGATCCAATATGGCGGACACTGAAGGGGGGGGCTGAGACACACTTAATATTATCAGCGTTCTGATGGCATTTTAGCAAAAGGATTTTTATCAAAAACATAATTAAGGAATATTTGTATTAACCAAACATGGAAACAGAGTTTTATGGGGCCCCCAGGAACTTGGGGCCCTAGTATTGCCTAATGGTAAATCCCTCCTGCTTTAGGAGATGTTCTCCTTCTAATCTGACTCAGAATGAGGAAAACTCTCAGACTATCTGACGGATGTAATCCATAGAAGACCTGAGGTGGTTTTCTCCTTTCCTGCTGGAACTAAAACATAAACTTTTCTCAGTGACAAAGTAAAACCTGATCGGTGAAACAAGCATCTGTAAATCTGTAAGTTTTAAAAACTAACCAGGTTTCTGACGCCCAGAGCCCAGATGGCATCATCATCATCATCATCATCATCTGGTTTGTTCTTAATCCATCGGTGAAAAACTAACTTCCTGCTTCAAACAGCAGATCAAAGGGGAAGCTTTGTAAATAATAAAAATGGATGCTATTCAGTGTTCAACTTTTTTAATAAATCATCTGTTTTGACTCTGTTTCCATTAATATGAGATTACCAGATTAATGTTGCTGATTTAATCCCAAAGCAGAGAAGCTGAGTTGTTACTGATCTCTCTGTGGATGAAGTTAGAATCAACCAGTGGAATAATTAACATTCACCTGCTCTAGACCATCAGTCACACAGGAGAAAGATTATAGTATAGTTTTATATCAGCAGGAAACAGAGTATAATTCAGTCAATCTAATCCAATCTCAGGGGAACTTTATTCTTTCTTTTTTAGTCGGTAAATCTGAACCAAAATGGAAAAGGAAGAAGTTTTTAAAAACAGCGATGATTCCAGAGAGGAGAAGATCTCAGAAAGCTGCTGATCTTCCCGGAAGTGGACGTCTCAGAAGGGAAGCTCAGAGAAACGCCTCACCTCAGGCTCTACAGGTCAAAGGTCATGACCCAGCACAGCTGATCAAAGGGTTTTATTGGATATCCACTGGATCCAAACGGATCATCAACGGGATCAGGATCCCAAACACAGCAGCTAAAGGGGCTAAAAATCTGCAGCGGCCTCAAAGTCCGGAGCTCAGTCTCTCTGAAAAGCTGTGGTGAAACCAGTGGTGAGTTGGTCTCACCACTGGAATCCAGTGGTGAGTTGGTCTCACCACTGGAATCCAGTGGGGAGCCGCAGTGCAGATAACAAACCTGGGGGTGGGGGGACTTCTGTCATCATAACAGGTGAACTGAGTCATTGGATTAATAACGACCCCCCCCCCCCCCCCCTTTGTGCAGAAGATGCTGTTAGCAAAGCATGAGCCCCCCCTTCCCATGTGACCCTCATGACCTCTGACCTCATTACTTTAATGGTCAGTTTGACTCCTCCTCTTATTAAAACAGCATCAGCAGAAGCTGCTGAGGTGCGTTTCTCTGCTCCCCCCATTAAGAAGCTGCTCCCATTTAGCCTTCGGGACTGGGAACAATGGTTTCTGACAGTTAAGAGGTTCTCACCAGTAACAGTGAATACATTAAAGCCCAAAGGCAGCCTGCCGGCGCTGCTTTGATTCAGGAACCTTCCTTTGTTTCATGTTTGAAGCAAAGAACGGACTGAAATTAGGGAGGAAGAGGAGAGCAGATTACAAGTCCTTCGTTAGGCTGCAGGATCTGAATAAATGGATAAAACAACAAATTAATTCTGCATCAGATTAATGCTGCAACAATAAACATTATTACATAAGAACCAAACAATAAACCGTCTGAATAATTAAAGAAATGTGAGTCATCAAGTAGAGATAGACTGATACTGACCGGTGCCAATACCAATTATTCTGACATTAATAACCAGTTCCCAATATGTGCTTCTGGTTTTAGGGGACTTATTTATTGTCACGATTTGGCTTTGGTTAGTTGACCCAAAAGCTGAGGCAGGGAGGCAGAGGTGCGTATATGTTTTTGCAAAAACTGGCACCAAAGGCTTCATGAGATTAGTTGGGTTCACCTTACATCGGGTAAGAATGTGGTGGCATATGTCACCCTACCAGGCGGCAAATTGCTTGTTCATGCTTGATTGTGACTGGTGTTGCCACTCCTACTGGTAACTTGCTTCTCCTCGTCTTTTCCTGGCTCCTCATGTATGTTTTCCCTGATGTCTCCTTGATTCAGTTTTTTTTTCTTCTGTATTTGCTGTTTTAGATTTCTGCCTCAGTTGCCTGTGAGAACTTTCATTAAATCAGAAAAACTCATCTCTGCCTACTAATCTCTGTATTTGGGTCCTCAAAACCTCAACCCAATTTGACAAACGCTGGCATATGTTGGATAAGTTATGAGCATTCTGTAACAACATAAGGCAAGTACGTCGAGAAATTTTGAGCTGGCATCCCGCTGTATTCCAGCGTCTGCCATCCGTGGTCCATCAGTTCCAGGTCAGTTATCTGATGGTCGACATCCGTTCAGTGTCAGTTCCTCATCAGTCGTGGCGTCTAGCTGATCCTAAACCTCTGAGTAACTTATCCAGAACTTCTCTCCAACATATCAGCGTATCTGACGTGTTCCAGACGAGCGCTGAACGTGTTTCTAACTTCCAGCTACTGTATAATGGCGTATTGGCAGCGTTTTGGTATAAAGGGGGTTCACAGGAGGAAACCGTCAGTTCTCCTCCAGACTTCATCCCCATCATAGGGTGAGCCAGAAGGTGAGTGATGGATCCTCCCTGCGTTCACGCCCACCACCAACACACTTCCTAGCAGACATGACGCTCAATCTGCTGACACCAGAAACCTTCTATACAGCAGCTAGGTTTATACAGCGATTAAAGAAATCTTTTTATGTGGGCCGGGTGTCATGGTCTTAGTTCTGTTAAGTTTTCTGTGGGTTTTCAGTTTCACGTCGATCCATGTTTTTCTTTGTATTCTAGCTTTATTGATGTTTTCTGGTTATATTTGAGCTCTTAGGTTTTTCTTTGCTTGCCCTCTGTCGTCCTCCTGTGTTGGTCTCCTTTTCCCTAGCTCCTTCTAGAATCCTCTGTCCACACCTGCTCCCAATCAGCTCATTAGTTCTGTGTTGTTTGGTCTTCCATACATTCTCTCCCTGTGCGGTTCCTCAGTGCTGGTTCCTCTTTTTTTCCTGGCTCCCCATGCTTGTTTTCCCTGATGTCTTCATGGTTCCGGTTTTTTGCATTTTTAGGTTGGATTTTTGGATTCCTGCCTCTCTTGCCTGTAAGAACTATATTAAAACTACAAGAACTCACCTCTGCATTTGGTTCCTCAAAACCTCAACCAAACCCGACACCTGCCGCCTCCAGGTGCATCGCTGCCCCCCTCAGGACACTGACTTGCGCTAGCCTGATAAACCAGACTAAATGTGAGATTAAATGTGTATTTTAGTCTGGCCCCGATGAATGAGACATCATAAGATTGTTGATGAGAACAACCCATTGTTTTTCTATCTATGCTTCTTCTTCTATGTCTGCTTCTGTCTCCTTGAACCCCAGTGGGCCTCAGCAGATGGCCGCTCACACTGAGCCTGGTTCTGCTGGAGGTTTCTTCCTGTTCAAAGGGAGTTTTTCCTCTCCACTGTCGCTACAAGCATGCTTAGTGTGAGGGATTGCTGAAGAGTCAATGAGTCGATGCAATCAGCTGGTTTTCCTTAGATAGAAAACTTTGAATCAATCTGACTGGATGATCTGGATCTATAAAGTGACCTGAGATGACATGATGTGAATTGGAGCTATAGAAATAAACTGAATAGAATGGAATGATTTTCAGGTTGGCTTTAGCAGTAAAGGCTGCAGCAGCTGCTATGTTTCATAAATAAGCTGCTTTACTTGCTCTGTTTCAGCCAGAGGACATAAACTACAAACTGTTGGAGTAAAAATGATTAAATGTCACAAACTGCTCAAAAACTGAGCAGAACCATCGCTGCTCGTTCACCAAATGTGCCTCCTCTGCAGAAACCTGCTCCAACAGATGGGCGCTCACACTCACACAGTCACCCCCCCCCCCCCATGCATGGAGCCGGTCGGGGCAATCACTCAGCAAAGCTGGCAGCAGGAAATGGAATTAGCGGCTGAAGGGGGTCAGTGGATCAGGGTGTGGTTCTGACTCTGGGGAAGCAGAGGGCGTCTCCATCAGGGTGGGGCTCATCAGCTGCTGTCACACAGAGAGAAAAGCTCCCACTCTGCTGATGTGATAAATCAGGGGGCAGAAGAAGTGACTCAGTTCTAACACTGCCTTTAGTTAACGACTTCTCCAATAACGTTTCCCGTTACTCTGATGGTTGCGTGGCAACAGCAGGCGGACTCAGCCACCGCTCCAAGGAGGCAGCGCACAAGGGGAGGGGAAGAAGTTAGAAA